TGCTCTGCACCTCACACAAACCTACTGTATTCCGCCAGAGAGGACTGCGGGTGCAACGCATCGTCATTTTGATTACTTTTGGTACTGCTTTTGACATTTTTGCAATAAATAAATGATTGTAATTGCATTTATCTCTCTGTCATGTTTTTCTTATACCGTACAGAAATATAGCAACAGTGGCTAACTGAACAAATTGCTCTTTCTTTAAATAAATTCAGTTATAATTAAAAATTTCTTAGGGATACAAATCTTCCTCAGCTTATGCTCTAAAACTATAGTGAGCCCTTTTACATTAGGCCTACTATAAGGTTACAGTTAACAACAGAGCCCAAACTTAAATCTAATTACTATTTATTTTTAACTATAATAATCAACACTCAAATTAAAAAATTGTATGCAAATATGTAAATTGCACTCATAACTTTTTACGTTTTTTAGCTAAAAATACGTAGCGATTTGTACGTTTTAAACGTTGAAATACGTCTAAATTGTACGTTTTAGCATCAATAAAAACGTACAAAAATTTACGTTTTGTGCTTGTAAATGTTACGTATTAATACCTACGTATAAACATGAGACCAGGCTGAAATACCAGATATGTCCTGCTGAAGGTCACTCAAAGTCTCGAAAGTGTGGCTTTCTGTCTCATCTTGACACAACTCCTAAAACAGCATGTATTAATCATTCACGTCCCAGTGCTGCACTACCTTTGAAAAGAGACGGACAGGCCTTTTTAGAAAAGGTCAACCTTTCAAATGGCCGCCAGGGAATGAGAGAGCGTTAAGAGATCATTAATCACTCTTTGATTGACACAGAAGTCTTTGTATCGTAACTACAGCAATGTAACCATGCTGACTGTTTTTTAATTATGCTCATTTACTATAAATTGAATCTATAAATTTACTTAATCTCTGATGACTGTCACAGCTTTTTAATCTTGAAAAGGACAGAAGTACCTGAGCCATGCTAAATGAGGTCAACGATCAGCAGTTTTTAAAAACATTTTAAGCCTAAATTTTTTTTTGCCAAAAGACATTTGCATTTGTAGCTTTTCTTCTTTGGCTCTTATATACAGTACCATTCAAAAGTTTGGTGTCATAAGTTTTCTATTTTTTTAAGAATTTAATACTTTTACTCATCAAGGATGCAAAACATTTATTAAAAGTGACAGTACAGAAATGTATAATGTTATAAAATCTTTCTATTAAATGAATGCTGTTCTTTTGAATCCATCAAAGAATCCTGAAAAAGTGTAATGGTTTTCAACATTCATAATAAAAAGAAATGATTCTTAAGAAAAAAAAAAAAACTCATATTTTTCTCATAACTCGTTTCATAACAGATTTATTTAAACATTAAATAATAAGACATCACTAACAGGTAAAGTAAAATATAATGATGAACTATTTTTACAACAGCTCAACATAAGATAAGTTTTACTTGAAGGCTTTTTTCCTTTAATTTCCAAGGATATATATCTACAAGAAATTCTTGATATCAGTATATTATAGGGGTGCAGCGGTACACAAACACAGATTGAGCGATTACATGAGGTATGAGATGTTCATTCATGTTTATTTCACGTTAAAACTAGTAGTAAAGAGGAAGGGATGATCGCGCTGCCGTTTGAACTGAGGCATTATACAGTGATCTGTCGCGCCACATCAAAGAGCGTCAAAGCGGCATTTATTGTTTGAATTTCCTGAAAAAAGGACATAATTTGAAAGATGAGACTTTGTTTCTTATTAAAAGTAACAATAGAATGAAGTTCCACTCGTGCAGTGGTTAAACCAAGGCTGACAATTTTCGGTATGAATGTGTGTACCGTTAACACCAAAAAACTCATATTTTAATGATTTCTGAAGGATCATGTGACACTGAAGACTGGAGTAATGGCTGCTGAATATTACTTAAATATTATATTATATTAAAAATGATATAAAAACAGTTTGTTTTTTTTACTCTATTTCTGATCAAATAAATGCACCCTTGGTGAGCATAAGAGACTTCTTTCAAAAACCATAACAATCTTACTAACCCTAAATTATTGATTGGTAGTCTACATTTGGCCTGTCATCATTTTTTAGTCACTATATGGTGAAATTTTTTTATTTTTTATAATATAATATAATATTATACAGTGATCTGTCGCGCCACATCAAAGAGCGTCAAAGCGGCATTTATTGTTTGAATTTCCTGAAAAAAGGACATAATTTGAAAGATGAGACTTTGTTTCTTATAAAAAGTAAATATATAATAAACTGGAAGTTTCCAATGAAGTTCCGCTCGTGCAGTGGTTAAAACAATGCTGTATTTGTTCGGTACACATGCGTACCGAACCGAAAGACCCGTACCAAAAATTTTCGGTACGAATACGTGTACCGTTACACCCCTAATATAATATAATATAATATAATATAATAACATTTTTAATATTTACATATAAACATTTCAGTCATGACATCTACAGTTCATTTAACTAGTTATGAGGGTTAACATACAGTAAGCATGTAATATTTTCCCAAGCTAGAGAAGTGTGTACACTACATGAGGATACCGGGGTTCTGTGACACATTAGGTAATTACAGCACAGAAACTGAGGGGCTTACAGTAGAGTGGAGCCAAGAGAATAGTCAACGAAACAATGGAACAGCACAAACAAACCTGTTTCTCCAAACAAAGAAGGTAAAGGGGGAGAGTGGCAGAGAGAGAGAGAGAGGTAGTGAGATAGAACCCCCATAGGATATGTCTGTGCCAGAGTAAACAAAACATACACGCTAGTCTCCCATCACTAGAAATCAAATTAAATGGCGGGTAAAGTCTCCGCAGACTGAAAAAGGTATGTTCCATCTGACTCTGGGAGAAGAACGAAAAAGGCTTTGATTAACATGACATACCCTGACCTAAAAGAAAGAACCAGAAAAAGACAATGTGGTAAATACTAATAGGAGAGGTATGTGACCCAGGATATTGTAGCATGAATTATTGATTAGATCGGAGGTATGTACCAGCCTCTTACTGCATGAAAAAAAAAAGAGAAAGAAACCCCAAGTGGTGTTTACTGGTAAGATGAACTTGCTTTCTTTGACATCATGGGCACCTATGTAAGAGCGGAACTAATATGAAGATGTGCACTGCAACTCCACTGGGAAATCATTTTATGTGCTACAGGTCATTTTACACATCCTCAAAAAAAAATAATAAATCACTCAGTGGGCTGACTCTGGTTCCTCCTCTACAAAACTTTTATTCATGTACGGCTCAAAACTAAGACTGGTACTTATAGTTGGTCTCAGAAAAAGGGCAGTGATCAAGCATCCATCATACTGCTCTTTATCATGAAATTTATTTAATAATAGTAGCTCTACTATTAGAAGCTCTTCTGGGCTGTGAGATCACACTTGGCTGCTTCATTCAAATTGCTTCTAGCCCTTTGACTGGTTTTAATGTCTTGGAAATTCTCTCTATAGTGTTCACAAAAATTAAGTTGGTCAAAATTGAATTATAAGGACCCGTGTCAATAATTACCCTTTAAGAAACTCTCTGAATAGATTCTGGATCACTAATGCCATCTCAGTGGCCTGTTTTGATTAAATTTCATTATAACAAACTTTTTTTTCACACCGAATTGTGCAGTTTGGATTAACCTGATATAAATAGTACATGCATGGGCATGGTTGGAATTCATTCAGAGGAGTTTTATAATAATTTATTTTTAGAAACTGTGGTACATTCTTACCTTATGTACATACTGCAATGGCAATTGTGTGTAAGATACAAAGGTCACAAGAAATATTACTTACCCCATTTATTGGGTAGGTCTTCCAGCTTAGTTCTCCCAGCACAGCTGTAGTGTCCAAGAGAACCACTATGAAAAAGACAAAAAAAAAGGTTGACAACTAGGGTCAACTATAAAAGTCTCCAATACACAATGAATCAATAACAAAACAAATACAGCCACATGAAAAATGAAGAACATTTATATAGATCATTTAATTTTAGGTAAAATAATAATAATAATAATAACAAAACAAAACAAAACAATACAATAAAATAAGTCAAACCTTTTTATTGGATTCTGTTGATCCAATTAAAAAAAAAGCAATCTGAATGATTCATCACACAAAGCTATAGTATGGCTTGAGAAAACTTGAAGATACGTTTATGATACCTTTACGAATGACTGAATGAGGCATTTTTATATAGCGCTTTTATTGTGTATTTCTCTACACCCAAAGCGCTTTACAATCATTGTTTATTAGGGGTGCAACGGATCGTAGATGATCTGTGACCCATACGGATCAGGCTGCACGGTTCGGCACGCATGTGATTCGCGGATTAACTGTTAAGTTTAACCATCATAGAGTGAAAGTTTATCATTTGCACATGTTTTGTCTTGCCAGTTTACACATTCAATCAATTTTAACTTGCATGCTGTTTTCTGTGCGCTCAGCAGCTGCCGCACGCAGCCACGCACCCGAAGCGCGCACGCAGAGTGAGAGAGACACCGCTAAAACAGCGAATTGATTCCTCTTTCACATACACACAAAGTTATGTTAAAATACCCGTTTTGGCACATATTCTAGTAAACACTGTCGGTTATGTCTTAAGTGAACGTAAACAGCTGAGAAAGAAACCGGATGTGTGTCAGTATTAGGTCCATGCATTTGGTCTTAAAGAGACAGCAGCCAATAAACACCTGTTTCTGTCTGCTAATCAAATAACACCACAGCTCTAACAAATATGAATCTGTATTTAACTTGTGCAGTGAGCATTATTGTGTTATTTTACACTTAATTATTACATTTCTGCACCTGAATGCTACTGTTACTGACTTTATTTGTAACTGTTTTGTTGTATTTGTCTATGCTTGTAATTTGTGTAATTGTTCTTGTTTTATTACTAACTTTATTAGTTAAGCTAGTAGTTTTTGCTGTGGTATAGAAGTACTTAAATATGAAAATGTACTTACAGTCTGTGAGTCAGAACAGCCGGCATTGTAGTCTACTCTCCCAGGATCAGGAAACAGTCTGCACACATCTGAATATTTGGGTTGAACTGTTCTGGAACAGTGTTGTAAATACAACTTAACCACTGATTTCTAGTCGTTTCCTCTTTTGGAAGGTAAGACCAGCACGGATCAGCTCTAGGCATGACGAAGCGGATATCGTCCTCTTTTGGAAGGCCAAACAAAGTAGTTTCGCTTTCACAACGAAACACACAGCGTCTTAACGACATGGCGCCAGCAGCAACAACAATACTACAGCGAGAATAAAAGTTACGCCTTCTTTCTTTGCATGAACATTTGGGAGGTGTTATGCAAATCTTCCCACATCGTGACGTAGACATGTGGGGGAGTGTTAGAATGAGCCGTTTTAGGTAGGCGTGGTTGACTCTTAACTTTTATAAAGAATATATCTCTTTGGATGTGTAAAAAAAAAAAAAAAGACAATGTAAGAGCCATTTTCAGCAAGGCAAAGTCACACTCTTTATCACTGTGAAATCTGGGAAGAGCAGGTTTAGGTTTTTCATGCTATACTAGCAATCAGCATGTCCGACATTGAGGTTCAGATGGTAGTTGTACTACAGGAATTCCAGTTGTACTACAGGAATACTAAATATGCCTGTGGGTTAATGGCTGTTTCCTACAGGATCATATGACTGCTCCTGTGGAGAGGGATGCGACAGGGATTGAAATGTGCCCGTAAATGATGGTGACTGCACATACTGTAGCTAGTCCCTGTGGGGGTCTGAGTCTCATATGATCTAGGTCCTTTTTCAAAGCCCCTTTTTACAAAAATATTTTATTTAATCGATATTCATCAATATTTCATTTAGTTTTTTTTCCTATTGTAATTTTTGTCTACACTTTTATGTTGCAGATATTCAAATTTCATTTGTAAAAATACACACTGATATCTATGAAAGTGCCAAAACTAATCAAAATAATAATCTTTCAAATAAAATATGATACCATATTTTATTTATCAAACACACATTGTGGAATTCAATATGAAATTTACTCTGTTCCTCTATCAGTTCACAGCCACTCACTTTTGTTATTTTTTTGTGAGAAGTGGATGAATTTATTGTCAATTTGACAGACTCCAACTGTCAGCAAACAGAAGGAAATAACACAGGTAAATGACAGTCTCACAGAGCTTTATTTAAGGCTTCAGGTGAGGAGCAAGCGATGATCACATTTGAGATAATGAGCTGATAATCTTGAGCATAGACTTAGCTGAACAGTCCTGTGGCTTTCCTTAGCAGGTTGTGGCTGATCCGGTATGCTGAGCTGAAGACAGAAGAGGATGGCTGACGACTGGAATGGGTCCGATGAATAGGTAAGTAGATAAAGTAAGGAGCCAGGTAAGTTGATACACGTATTTAAACAACAAGACCAGACACTGAGGTGGCGATGGGAAGGTTGCTTTATACTGTGACTTGATTGGTGCTGACAGGTAGTGCATCAGAATTCTGGAGATTGTGAATGAGTGGGTGGAGCAGAAGGATCTGGCGTTGCTGGTGACTTTGTGACAGTAACCCCCCCTCCCTCCACCTCCACAGGCGGCTTCAGATGCCTGCACGATTTGGCGACGAGGACGGCCACAGCCCCAGGGGTGCAGGACGGTAAGGATGAAGAGCGTGGAACTTCGTCAATAGGGCAGGATCAAGGATGGTGTTGACTTGGTAGATGTGATATTCCTCTGCAATTTCTGGAGGAGGAGGTACGTCAGGCTCGCCAGATCCTGTGGGAGGTTAGTGAACGGTTTGAGGAGAGAGGCGTGAAAGGTAGGTGCAATGTGGTAGTGATAGGGTAAGTCAAGTTGGTAAGTGACAATTTATCTGCCTCCTGATGGTGCAGGGACCTATGTTGCGGAGACTCATCTTACGACTAGGCACCCAGAGACGAATGGCCCTGGTGAAAGAAAGACCTTTTGACCCGGATAGTACTGGGGAGTGTTGGAGCAGCGAGTATAGGCCAGGCTGTTGAAGGTGGATATGTGCTGAGTCTCAGACCCTCTCGCTCTCCTGGAACCAATGGTTCACATTTGGAACGTCCAATGGCTCAACTGACTAGGGAAACAGAGGCGGCTGGAAGCCGAGTATGCACTGGAAAGGTGTCAGGCCTTTCCAGAACTGTGGCCCGCTGTCTGATACAATGTCTTCGTGTAGCCCAAAGTTTCAGAAGACATGTTGAAAGAGGAGTTCTGCGGCCTCAAAGGCAGTGGATAGTCCCTTCAGAGTTATGAGTTTGCAGGCCTTAGAGAACCTGTCTATGACCACCAGGATGCAGGTATGGGAGTTGGAAGTAGGGAGATCAGTCACGGAATCCACTCCGAGGTGGGACCAGGGCCGAAAAGGGATGGGCAATGAACCAGTTTACCTTGTGATAGGTGTTGGGGAGTCTTGGATATGGTGCAGACTGAGCAGCTCTTGACGAATTGGGAGACTTCTCGAGCCATGTTGGGCCACCAGTAGCGATTTTGAGGGAGCGAGAGGGTTTACTGGCTGCCTGGGTGTCCAGAGCCCGGAGATGTATGTACTGAGTCCAGAAGGGTTAGCCATAGGGATGATGGTACATTAACATTCCCTGCTGGACCTCCTGGCGGAACAGGTTCAGAGCAAGTGGCTTCCATGATCTGGTCATCAAGGGACCACTGGATGGGACTCACAATAATGGCTAGAGGAAGTATGGGTTCTGGGGGAGAGTTACTGTCTTCAGAGAGATGGAGACGGGAGAGTGCATCTGCTTTTTGGTTCTTTGTGCCAGGCAGCTAAGTGACTGTGAAGTTGAAGCGGTTGAAGAACAAAGCCCAGTGGGTTTGTCAAGGGTTGAGTCGTTTAGCATCTCAGAGATATTCCAGATTACGGTGATCAGTTATGAATTCAAAAGGGTGGTTGGCTCCCTTCAGCCAGTGTCGCCACTCCTCTAGGGCAAGCTTGATAGCTAGGAGCTCCCGGTTACCGATGTCATAGTTTTGCTCCACCGGAGATAGCTTCTTGGAGTAAAAGGCACATGGATGGAGGATGATGATGATGGCATCAGGATTCCAGGACAGAGATTTGGGCTTATTTCTGAGGAGTGAGGTGAGGGGTGCACAGATTTGGCTGAAGATGGAGATGAATTGGCGATATAAACTGGCGAAACCTAGGAAACGTTGAAGTTTTTGATGGTGGTAGGTTGAGGCCCATCTCTGATAGCTTGCACCTTCCTCTGGTCCATGTGAATGCCGTGGTGGTCGATGATGTAACCGAGGAACTGAATGGCATCTCGGTGGAACTCACACTTCTCCAGTTTGAAATACAGATGGCGCTCTCTCAATTTCTGAAGGACCTGTTTCACATGGTGGCGATGTTCGGGCAGGTTCCGGGAGTAGATGAGGATGTTGTCGATGTACATGATCACAAAGTGGTGGAGGTACTCCTAGAACATCTCATTCATGAATCCTTGGAAGACCGAGGGTGAGTTGGAGAGGCCATACGGCATCACCTGGTATTCATAGTGGTCTGATGGTGTTACGAATGCAGTCTTCCATTCATCACCCTTGCGGATCCGAGTGAGGTTAAAAGTGCTACGCAGGTCCAGCTTGGAGAAGATATGAACCCCATGAACCTGTTCCTGGGCGGCAGGGACCAGAGGAAGTGGATAATGGTACTTGACCGTCTGGGAGTTAAGGACCCGGTAATCAATGCAGGGTCTCAAGCCTCCGTCCTTCTTACAGACAAAGAAGAAGCTGGATGCAGCTGGTGAAGTCGAAGGGCAGATGAATCCTTGTTTGAGAGCCTCCTCGATGTACTCCTCCATGGCCTTCTGTTCCAGGATGGACAGCGGGTAAACTCTACCTTTTGGCAGCATTGCCCTAG